GCTGAATCTTGCAGTATCTGAGTGTGCGATATTTACACAGCAGGTTAAGAGTATTCAGAGGATTTCCTCCACTCGCGAGAAATGTCTGAGTGATGCTAGGTTCACGTCTAGTGCTGCCAACCTCCAGGTGGGGCCTGGAGACCTCCCACTATTACAACTGATCTCTAGACAATCCGTTCCCCCTGGAGAGAATGGCTGCTTTGGAGGGTGGACTGTAGGACATTGCGGCCTGCTGAGGTCCCCCCCTTTCCCAAACCCCGCCCTCCCCAGCCTCCACCCCCAAAATCTCCAGGTATTTCCCAACCCAGAGCTGGTAGCCCTATTCACATCCCTGTTTAAGCATGAAGCTCATTCCAAGAGCAAGCCTTTGGAAGCCCCCCGAGCTCCAGTACTTCCCTCTCTGCCCACCTATGACCACCATCAACTGAAAGGACAAACCAGGAAGCTGCCTGCTCATGAGCCGTACGCGAGAACTGGGCACCCGAATGCCTAACTTTCCTTGCAGGATTGTTAAGAACATAAGAACATAAGAGATGCCAATGTTGGATCAGGCCAAAGGCCCAACTGGTCCAACACTGTATCACACAGTGGCCAGAAATACCAGTGCCATCAGGAGGTCCACCAGTGCGGCTGACCACCATCAACTGAAAGGACAAACTGGGAAGCCACCTGCTCATGAGCCGTACGCGAGAGCTGGGCACCTGAATGCCTAACTTTCCTTGCAGGATTGTTGAGGTGAACTAGAGGTTGACTGCTTACACAACCAAATCCCAGCGACACCTTACAGACGGACAACATTTATTTCAGTATGAGGTTTTGTGAGTCTCCGCTTACTAGGATCCTGAGAAGAAAGGTGGGGTAAAAAGAAAATGGGCAGAGAGAGGACTGGGGGAGGGGATGAGAGCCAAGCAACGACTCCACGGCAAAGGTGGGGTTTGGACCAGGACACTCTGTGACCCTTTAGTGAGCTGCCGTCTGGTCAAAGGCAAGGCAAGCTGAATGGGGGGCAGAGCCACTGTTGGTGTGCCGAATACCTGAATGATCACACATACACAATGGAAAAAAATTGTTCAGATCATATATTTTTGCAGCATGGTATTTAAAGAGACTTAACACAGATTTTTAATCTTTCCACCGCCTTTGGTGACGCCTGCCTACGATGCACACAGAACATTGCAGTGGTCTTGGAGTTACATCAACACTGGGAGGTACCAGAATGAACACAGAGTAGTAAAAGATGCTCAAAATCCAGTGCGGGAGGGTGGGGCGTTCAGCAG